AGGTCGGTGGGGGGCTGAGGGTTTTTTTTGGCAGTCAGGAGGCCCTGGAAGGAAAGGGAGGCTCTGCTCCTGAAATCAGCTCCCCGCCTGCCCAAGCAAAACAGAGCGAAAACCTAAGAATGGAGATGGATGTGCTGCTTTTGGCTGGGATGGAGTTAATTAATTTGTAATGAAGAAAGGTTTCTTGGGGTGCAAGAAACTCTTCTTCTGCTCAGCTTTTGGGCTTCCCCACCCGGCGAGGAAGGAGGAAGAGGAAGGCTCAGGCCTGGGATAGTCCCCAGCAGATGCATTAACAATGCCTTCTACTCCTCACTGCTTCTCACAGAGCCCCAGGAAAAGTCAGTTTTTGGGGAAAAAAAAGCCAATTCTTCTCCCAATCGCATAGAAAACAATGACTATAAGCTTTATCTTGTACTTACGGGTAGGTAGGATGGCTCCTTTGCACTTGACAGAGTGAAATGGTGGTTTTTCAAATGGAGAAAGGTCGCTTAACACCCGGGATAAATCCTTGAGACCTCAGTAGGAAGCTCCTAAACCTGTGCTGGAATGATTGTGTTTCCTCCGGGCATCAGCTGGCAAGGGAGAGGCAGAGAGACCGTAACTAGGGAGAAAAGAAAATACTTCCCTGCCCTTTAAAATAGGAGCTGTTGGCACGACCAGGACAAGCAAACCGACTCCAAATTGAGTCCTCGCCAAATTATGCCTTAAATTATAACTCCGCTGTGGATGCTATAAAATGAAGTTTAACTTCTGCTTGATGGATTCGGAGAAAGAATATAATATTAATAGGAGTGGGAGTTAATAAAACGGGACACACTTCTTGCTTTAAAGGCATTTCCCTCTGAGAAAACAGCCCTGCCTTTAACTGCTTTCCTTTGAAATTGAGTCCTCGCCAAATTATGCCTTAAATTATAACTCCGCTGTGGATGCTATAAAATGAAGTTTAACTTCTGCTTGATGGATTCGGAGAAAGAATATAATATTAATAGGAGTGGGAGTTAATAAAACGGGACACACTTCTTGCTTTAAAGGCATTTCCCTCTGAGAAAACAGCCCTGCCTTTAACTGCTTTCCTTTGAAGCAAGACGAGGCTGTTTTAAACTAAAAAAAAAA